AAGTCGAAAACCTGAAAAGGCGGCTTGGGCAAAAATGGGTATCCCGGTGGACTGAAAACCCGAAAGGGCGGTCCAGGCAAAAGTTAGGGATCAAAAGCGTACGACTATGTCCCGTCATCTCGTCACTTGCCTACCAGAAGAAGATTTGTCAACCAGCAGTTATCAAGGCCTCTACAGGTACCTTCTCCCACCGAAGCTGGGGCAATATGAATCGTCTGAACTGTACAAGCTGCTCTGTCCTCCAAGGTACCAAGGCAGGTTCGGCTGAAGAACACGACCAAGATACCTCCACTCCCTGCAGAGTACGAACGCATCTCCCCGGCTTTATTCAAAGTTATTCCCTTCAGATCTTATAACTGGGTTATCCTCAGCTAATTGCCACGGAAAGATCGTCCTCGACGAAGTTCTTCCTATCCCCCAGTGGAGTTATCATCAAAATCTCAGCGAAGTATCTCTTCCCGCAGAGTTTTTCCCTGCAGAGTAATCTCTCCAACAAGTTTATTCCCCAACGGAGTCATCTTCTCCTACCGGTATTCTTGCAATCATCCTCCCCAGCGGAAATGAAGAATTCTACTCTTCAACGTCAGCCCAGAATTCCACTTCCTGGCATGCATCAAGGATTTACTTTCCCAAACGAAGATACATTCATAAACATCACATTACAACACGATACACGCATATACACATCATATCATATAATCTCACTTATGTTGAGAACATCATCGCTTGATCCATACCATGCATTGCATAGGACTGACCTTTACCTTGCAGGAAGGATACAGTTAAATGATCATCCATGACAAAGTAGACAAATTCAGTCAAAAGAAGACAAGTCCAGTTAAAATTAATTCCACTCGTCGTTATAGACACTCGTCGTTATAGACACTCGTCGTTATAGACACTCGTCGTCATAGACACTGGTCGTTATAGACACTCGTCGTCATAGACACTCGTCGTTATAGACACTCGTCGTTATAGACACTAGTCGTGATAGACACTCGTCGTCATAGACACTCGTCGTCATAGACACTCGTCGTCATAGACACTCGTCGTCATAGACACTCGTCGTTATAGACACTTGTCGTCATAGACACTCGTCGTTATAGACACTCGTCGTTATAGACACTCGTCGTTATAGACACTCGTCGTTATAGACACTCGTCGTTATAGACACTCGTCGTTATAGACACTCGTCGTTATAGACACTCGTTACTCGTTGTTATAGACACTCGTTGTTAAGGACCACCCGTCCATGAAGATAACCTGTCCTTGAAGAGACAACTCGTCAGAGAGGACAACACCCCTTGGTTCAGTTAAATCAATCCATAAAGTTTTTCTGAGATAACCTGTCAGTAGAGACAACTCACCAACTTTTCTGAATTCCAGATTCGATACCTGTATCTAGCCAGGGCACGTCTGAAGAGTTTGAAGATTCGACTCCTGTATCCAGCCAAGGCATATCTGTTGACGACTAATTCCAGATTTGATACCTGTATCTAGCCAGGGCACGTCTGAAGAGTTTGAAGATCAACCCCTGTAACAGGCCAGGTAATTATTTTTCTTTCTCAGGTACGCAAGTTCTCGCTAAGGAATGTCTTACGCGATCGACACCTAGATGGCATCTATAAGCCCATCCACATACCAACAGTCTTCAAATGGCATCTGTAGCGGTGAAAATCGGAGATCAAGCTATTAATTAACTTGACTCACAAAAGCAAGAGTCGCCACCGCGCTTTATTATTTCCAAGGGAAAAGGGAAAAGAGCGAAATAAAACCCTAAAATATGCAATGTAAAATAATATTTAAAAGTAATGAAAATATAATGCGTTTTTAAAAGAGATCGAGAGTTCGGGGGTTGGTTATACAATGGGAAGATATTAGCACCCAATGCATCTGCGGTACTCCGCAGGAACCTTTTGAAATATCTGTTTATTAAAATGTTTGTTTGATTAAAAATAAATTGTTTTGGCCGAAAATGGGTATGGACGAGTTTTTGAAGATACGAAAACCTAATGTCGAAGTTTTGACTTAAAAGGTGTGAGTTTTTTTTGAAGAAATTGGATATTTGGGAAAATTATCCTATGTTTTTAATGAATGAGGGTATTCGCACGATGTTTTTTGATGACATAAAGTCGACCAAAAAATTAGACAATTCCCTTGGATTAAATCGAGCAAGTAAAATAAGATGAATCCACAAAGTATAAGCATTCAAAAATTCACAAGAAAACAAATCTAATGAAACAGATTAATGACCAAAAGCATCGAGAAATTAAAATGACAAAGATATTTAAATAGAATAAAAGAGAATGTAACTAATTATCTAAAGAAGTTATTTAAACTAAATTAAAAATTTAAGATTACTTACTAAAAAATTTCTAAACTAACTACAAATTCTAAGGTTGCAAAAATAGTTCTAAAATTACTAAATTAGATCTAAGCTAAATTAAAAATTTTAAAATTAGTAAATTAAATCTAAACTAAATAAAAATTCCAAGGTTGCTAATCTAAAAAAAAAAAAAAAAGTTCCAAAGTTACTAAACTAAATCTAAATCAAATAAAATTCTAAAAGAATATTAAACTAATTCTAAACAACTAAAATTCTAAACTTATTAAACTAATTCTAAATCAAATAAAAATTATAAACTCATTAAACTAATTCTAAATCAAATAAAGTTCTAAAGTCCCTAAACTAAAACTAACAACTAAAATTCTAAAGTTAACTTAAATAAAATCAAATAAAGTTCTAAAGTTTACTAAATTAAATCTAAAACAAATAAAATTCTAAAATTTACTAAGTCAAATCTAAATGAAATAAAATCCTAAAGTTACTAAAATAAAACTAAACAAAATAAAATTCTAAAGTTTACTAAGTCAAAACTAAAACAAATAAAATTCTAAAATTTACTAAGTCAAATCTAAATGAAATAAAATCCTAAAGTTACTAAAATAAAACTAAACAAAATAAAATTCTAAAGTTTACTAAGTCAAAACTAAAACAAATAAAATTCTAAAATTTACTAAGTCAAATCTAAATGAAATAAAATCCTAAAGTTACTAAAATAAAACTAAACAAAATAAAATTCTAAAGTTTACTAAGTCAAAACTAAAACAAATAAAATTCTAAGATTTACTAAGTCAAATCTAAATGAAATAAAATCCTAAAGTTACTAAAATAAAACTAAACAAAAATAAAATTCTAAAGTTTACTAAGTCAAAACTAAAACAAATAAAATTCTAAAATTTACTAACTAAGCTTAATAAAAAATTCTAAACTTACCAACTAATTCTAAAGAAAAATATTAAGTTGACTCCAAACTAAACTAAATTAAACAAAATGTCTAATTTAAGAACAAAATTATATGATTAATTAAAACTAACTAACCTAAATAAATGAAATATAGCTTAGAAAAAAAATCAAATTGAATAGAACAATGGTGTATAGCAGTAAAGGGAAGGAGTTGCCATGAATTTCGTATGGGCTCAGTGGAAGGTCCAAACACATATTTCAAAATTAAAACAGTAAGAGGGGGAAAGAAAAAAAAATATAGAAAAGGCAAATGGGCCTAAGTGGGAAACGGGTCAGGATAAGGCCCAATTTGCAACAATTAGAAGGTGAAAAAAACCTAGCGATGGATGCTTGGAACCTTTTTGTTATTCTCAAAGTCAGATTAATTAGTTCAATTAACTCCTACCATTTCTCAAAAAAAACATCAACTAACGCATGTCCCTTTCCCACGAACCACTCCCTTTCATCTCCTCTTTTCTCTTTCCTCTGTTCTTCCTTGTTTTGTTTTCACGGTTTAACATGAACCCATAAACTCCCTCTTTTGGTCTCTCTATGCTTCACTCCTTTCTATTCTCTCTCTCACGGTTTTCTTATCTTCTCTTCAACCTTGCACCGCCGACGAACATTCCTCAGCGCCAGAACTGTGGCAGTCAACAACACTCAAACTTTCTTTCACTTTCTTCATATCTTCCTCCATTTTCCAAATTCGTCCTCCATTCTTTCTGATCTTAAACTATGATTTCTGATTTCTTATCAAAATAATAACCCTAGATCTAACTAGAAATGAGATTAAACGGTAATGATTGGAAATCCATACCTGCAACCTTAGGGTTTTCATTCAACAAAGCTTAAGCTACAACATAGTACTAAGGATGATGCAAAACGGCAAAGGAGAACGAGAGAATGTCATTTACCTACCGGAGTATCGTCCCCTTCTTACTAACCTGTGTCGGCGATGACCCACTCTGTCCTGCTTCCATTTTCTGTCGGAGACTCTCCCAGTACTCCCAATTATTGAGGCCAAAATCAGTATTAAGCGATAGTATTGCGAACAAAACAATGACAGTTTCCCTCGATCTTCTGAAATTTATTGGAGCGAAGTCCCCAGGTAAATGGCACACTGCTTTTCTCTGTATCTCTATAACTTGTTCTTTTACTCTGCTTTTGAAGCTCTGAGTCGAATGGTATGTTGAAAGTGTAAGTTATTCTGCAGGTTGTAACATTGCGATATTGATGTTGTGTTTGTGATGTTGTTTGTGTGATTTTGAGGCGTGAGATTGATACATTGATGATGCAGGAACTGGATGATAATGATGAAGATAGGCAATGATATTGAGGAGGTTGATGAAGCAGTATTTATGAAGTTGCAGATTGATGTACTGAAAAATTATGGATGAAGATGAATGAAGGTTTGAGAGAAGGTATCTGATGTTTTGTTGAGTTTCTGCTTTGAAATGTTTTTAGAATGAAATTCTGTTCTTCTATCTTTGTACAAAACTCTTTTAGCTGTAATTTATTTATGTATTTTTCTATTAGGATGAGTTGTTAATGGTGAAGGGTACTGAAACAAGGTTGAAAAATTGATGTACAGTAGAGAAGCTTTTGTGGTGATGGTTTTGTGTATGAGTGAGCTAGGGTGCGTTTAAGGTTTTCCAGGTTGTATGGAGTGGATGGATTTGTTTTGAGGGGATGCAGAAAAGTGTTGTTTCCTGGTATGGTTGGATCGAAGAGAGATAGGAGGGTGTATCACGCGTTGGAAAGAGAGAAGGGGAAATATTGTAAGTGCAATTGTTTTTTTGTTTTTTCTTTTGTGTATTTTGTCTGTTAATTTTCTCCCCCCCCTTTTCTCTACTGCCTTCCTATTGTTTTATAGAAGATGGGAGATGGAATTGGAGGGACTTTTGGGGGGGAAATTCCAATGAGTTTGGACTAATATGGTAATCTTTTTTTTGGATTTTTGATGCAGATTTGTCATGGTCACTTTCATGTAAATTCTTCTTTGGGTGTATTGTGGTGCAGATTTACATCAAAGCAGTAGCAGGGTGCAGCAGCATGTCTTCACAGGTTTTGGGCAGCATTCCAACATACTTTTGGAGCAATAGTGCAGCATACTTTTGGCATTATTTGGGCAGAATTTCGGATCAAGAACAAGCCTTAGCTTTAGGTTTAGATTTTTGTTTTCTTGTACAAACACTTGTATAAAATTGTTGTGGTAACTTGTAATTTTGACTTAGAGCTTGATTGAATGTGATTTGGGAATTTAAACTTGTGCAATTTGCAAATGGATGAGACAAAGGTTATTTAGAACTTTGAAATTATATTTTTGAGATGTCTTGAGAATTGAATGAGTTTGAATAATGGATGATGAATAGTTAGAAAATGATTTGTTTGATATCCGGTTTTGTTATTGCTGCAAAAATCATGAACTTGTCCTATGAATAATCGTGTGATGATATTGATGTGGTCCCACTCTGCAATTTTCTTTCTCTATTTTTTGACAAAAACAAACAAATAATAACATAATAGTAACAATAATATAAGAAGAAGAAAAAAGTATTAGTAACAATAAATAAAATAAAATAATAAAATGCAACAATGATAATAACAATAATGAGAACAAAAAAAAAATTAGTAACAATAAAAGATGAAATAATAAAATGCAATAAAGATACTAATAATAATAATAATAATGAGAAAAAGGGAAAATAGTTAGTAATATCTAAAAGAAATAGAAATAGATTAAAATAAGACAGATTTTTGAACTAAAACAAATTCATTGGAAATATGATAGAAAATGCAAATGATAAACTATTTTAATTCTTTTTTTTTTAAATAGAAATTAAAATGATGAATAAAAACAAGAAAGTATGCGAAATGATTGATTTTTCAAATTAACGACAAAATATGCACCAGTCGAAAAAAGTGAAGGGGCGAAAAATGGGGTGTGACAGTTGTGCCTTGATGAATCAGTCTTCGAGAATCCATAATCGACCATACTTTTGGCTTGGGAGACTCAAAACCTTAATTGAGGCGCGACACCTGATGCTCTTGATTCAGACTTGTCTCTGCACATGACACGAAAGAAAACATGAACATACACCTTTGTATGCGATTAGAAATTAGTGATACATATGCTAAAAATGTTCGAAACACTTGACAATCTTCGCATAGCCAAAGCTCGAAGGTGAGACATTAAAACCGACCGTATTTCGTGACCTTGACTTATCTTAAAAAAATGCAAAAATAAAAATGGGATCTTAGGTCAAAAATTGGGGTACAACAGCTGCCCCTATTTAAGTTTCTTCTATCTGGAGATATGAAGATTGGGATCTTCATTTCGACGAGATTGAAGGGACTTAAATATAGAATACACAATTTTTGGCCTTAAGATACCGCGATTATGTTCATGATATGATATGAATGTAATGCTCTGAATTTTATGGGGAATGACGCCATATGAGACAGACTATGCTGGAGAAACCAAGCACATTATACAGTAATCCCACAGAGGAAGAGGTTGTAACTCCACTGGGGAAACAAAGTCATAGACTTAAAATGAGAGACTCTTGAATGATTCACATTAGTGTTGAGACTGGAAAAGAAATGATTTACATCAGTACGAAGACTGGAAAAAGAAATGATTTTCATCAGCACTGTGACTGGAAAAGGTAATGATTTACATCAGTACTGTGACTGGAAAAGGTAATGATTTACATTAGTACTGTGACTGGAAAAGGTAATGATTTACATCAGTACTGTGACTGGAAAAGCATATGATTGACATCAGTACTGTGACTGGAAAACAAAATGATTGACATCAGCACTGTGACTGGAAAACAAAATGATTGACATCAGCACGGTGGCTGGAAAACAAAACGATTGACATCAGCACTGAGACTGGAGATAAACATCTCTGATTTCTGAATTTTACCAAGAACGGTAACACATTTCTTCTTTAACCAAGATATCACTTGAAAAGGATAAAATAACAAACTTCCCCACGGGACTTTTCCGAAAGGGATGCCATTTGCTGAGTAGACATTATTGTTGGGGATACACAAGCTGCTCAAATAAAGGAGCTGTCACTTGCTGTCTTCAAAAAAAGTGCTATGACATACAAGCTGCTTAAATAAAGAAGACGCCACTTGCTGTCTTCAAAGAATATTAAAGCACACAAGCTGCTCATGAAGAGTCTGCCACTTGTTGCCAAAAACCCACAAGCTGCTCATAAAGAAGCTGCCACTTTCCGTTTTCAAGGGAACAATAACACACAAGTTGCTCAAATAGATAAGCTGCCACTTGCTGTCTTCCAAAAAGTACTAACGTACAAGATGCTCATGAAGAAGCTGCCACTGGCCATTTTTCAAAGATAACAATAACACACAAGTTGCTCATGAAGAGACCGCCGCTTGCTGTTTTTTTTCAAAGGTAACAATAACATACAAGTTGCTCATGAAGAGACCGCCGCTTGCTGTTTTTTTTCAAAGGTAACAATAACATACAAGTTGCTCATGAAGAGACCGCCACTTGATGTTTTCAAAGGTGACAATAACATACAAGTTGCTCATGAAGACACCGCCACTTGATGTTTTTCAAAGGTGACAATAACATACAAGTTGCTCATGAAGAGACCGCCGCTTGCTGTTTGTCAAGAGTATCCATAACACACAAGTTGCTCATGAAGAGACCGCCGCTTACTGTTTGTCAAGAGTATCCATAACACACAAGTTGCTCATGAAGAGACTGCCGCTTGCTGTTTCCCAAAAAGATTCCCATAAAATATCGTGAAGATATTGCTGGAGGTGAGAACCAATAATTTCATCGGGGATGGAAAAATTGCTCATGAAGAGACCGCCATTTGTCATAAAGAAATCAGAAATAATCAAACTGCTCAAATAAAGAGTCAGTCACTTGTTGTCATGTCGATATTCCAGAAGAAAGTTATGATAACACTACTAGGGAATAAAGTTCATCTTCAATGGGAAACCAAGAATGGATCCTTCCTGAGAAGACCAAGTATTTACATTGCAAAATAAATGCACCCTCCATCTAGGTTTCACAGCCTAGAGATATCCATAGGGTATCGTTCACAAGAGACAAAGCTCAATCCAGGAATAAACTGGAGAGAAAAACAGTCAAACAAGACTCCACCCAATGAGGAAACAACTCAAATGGGGATTTATCCTATCCAGAGATGGAAAAGGAAAGCTAAAGCAAGATTCTTCCACGAGAGTTAACTCAGTGAGGAATTAGAAAGAAGGCACATTTTCTGCTTAAGTTGGCACTCTACTTGGAAAGATCAAATACATTATTTGAATAGAACCAACCAAGGTATACGAACTCAATGACATCAACAAATACAATTGTGCGTGCATGATGCAAGTGTGAATGAATAAATGAATGCCATGTATGTGCTGACAAAACAAATAGACAAGATAAACTGGAGATGATAAGACATCATAGCACAACCCAACACTCGGCTAATCTCAACAGGATGGGAACATTACTGGAGATAAAACACAGGCCATCATTGGAGGAAGGTCCTTTTACAAGGCTTAAATATCTCTGGAGAGGAAGATATTTTCAGGTAGAAAACCCAAAGTCCAGTCTTCTATTGCAAACAATCCATTGAAAGGATAACAACACAAACAAAGTTTCAGCTGGAAAGAAGTCTTGCTTAGCTGGAGATACTGGGAACACCACCCTCTAATAATGTATGAAAAACATATCTTGACAAATCTGGATTGCCCCTGGGATTAATTTTGGATGCCCCAAGTTTACTGCTGATAAGCTGCGTGATGCACGACAATTCTTGCGAATAACTTTACCTCTAAAATGCCCCGAGCTATATGGTTGATGAGGAGAAATCGTCTCAAGAGGATTTTACAAAAGACCTGGCATTCACCATGCTCTGGTGTCTTCAAACTCTTAGAGAGATTCATCAAATCTTTACGTGATTGCCCCGGATTGACTGTAGTCGGCACAACAAAGTCTTCGAATTTTTGCCCCAAACGAGCAAACAAGTTGGGAAAAGCATTAACTGGGAGAAGCAACATGTTCGTGTTTACGGTCTTTAGGTGACATGCCCATGGATATGATTTTTCTTGACGTGATCCGCCAATTACTCAACATAGTTTCAGGCCTTAAAAGAATAAACTCATCACTGGTGCTTATGTGAGCCTCCTTGATATCAAATAAATGTTTTGCAGTTAGAAAAAGTTTATTATAAGAATGAAAATTCTAATGCAACAGTTATGTAAGTCTTGAAGGTTTTGAAGAGATATCATACAAATTTTGCGAGTTAGAGCACCATTTATTTTTTATAGAAAAATCATATGATACCAACATAACTATTTAGAACATTCATGGGAGTCAGGAACACTATCTCATTGAAGTATGCTTTCAAAATAACCTTGCTTCAATTAGGACTTTTGAAGGTTGTAACGTGGCCTGGTTCACGGTTTAGGAAACAAAGGATAAAGGCTCAAAGTATATTTGTACCCACCCGCTCTTCGTGATGTTCTTCACACCTAAGCTCAGTTAATTGTGCGTCGCACTCTGTTTTGAGTTTGGAACGACCTTTTGGGTGATGGTTCACCAATTGAATTCGGGAGACAGTCATCATCTCCTTTTTCTTTGGCAACATTTTTCATGTTGTTGAGGATTTGTAATGACCTCTCTATTTTGATTTTGATTTGTTATCCCTAACTTTTGCCTGACTGTTCCCTTTTTTGAGATGACAGTCAGCGGGATGCCCCAGCTTTCTTAAGCCTCCTTTTCAGGTTTTGACTTAGTGGGCTTTTCTTTTGAGAGATTGACTGTCTATGTGATAGGGAACCACCCTTGTCTTTTGATTCCAAAGGAATGCTTTCTTTTGTTGACGTTGTTCGTTGTGTTACGAACTGAGAGTTTGCGACTTCAATGCGCACTTTTTTTTCTTTTTTGAATTAACTGAGAGACTACCCTTCCCCAGGTTTATATCAAAGGTTTTGATTGTTTAGAACAGAAAACTCCTACTTCTTTGTCTCGAAGGGGTTGACTAGGGATTATCTTCCTTATAACTCCAGTGTTTGGGAATTGAAAGAAATGCCTGTACATCATCAGCAAGGTTTGTTCAAAAGCATACTGTATGAGATTGTGTGTTTTTTAGATCATCATCCTCCCTTCAATCTCTGCCTAGGCAAGAGAACGGGCAACAAGTT